AGCTGCATGCCCAAACCCCTGATGGCCGGGAGGCTGGAGATAATGTACAATTTCAATTTCGAAACGACCGCGTTGAGTTTTCAAAAAAGAAATTTGATTTTGAGGTCGTTCAGTTGCGTAATGATTAACAGCCTCACAGTAAATCATATGGTAACGGATATTAGCTATAGCTAACAAACTGGTGTGTATATATATGTATACATGTATAATCAAAGCAGTCAAATCTTGCACAGGACAAACTTTGATAACTTTTAAACTTCTTCGAGTACAGAAATTCCAGCATCCCCTCAATCCACTCCCATGGGCATAACTGCTATCGCCTCGGATTACGTCAGATACTTGTAGATTACAGAGATGGAACTTGTAAATAGCCGTAAATCAATTACAGATAATCTGAATTTTCCAAGACACGGCTTGAGGGTGGATCTACTATGAATTTTACCACCAATTTAAATATACACCAGATAAGGTCCATGGGATGCTGGCACTCACCAAGTGTATCCTCCTTTTCATATTAAAAGTACGAGATTCGTCTTCCTTCGCCCACAAGAAATAAAAAATAATTATAAAATTCACAAAAAAACTTACGCATCGGACAAAACGATTGCACAGATTCCAAGAGCCCCTTCGAGATAGAACCAGGTCAATGGAAAAGAAAAAAGAAAAAAACATAATCAAGCTCCGATGCCTAATTTTAAACGTATAAGTAAAAAATACCAATTGTGGCATCACGAGGTCGATGAGTTAAAGTGAAATTTAATAATCTAACTAAAATTTTCACGTGTACCAACAACCAAAGCATTGTAGGCGTGCCTAAATTGAATGGCTCAAACCGCTGCAGGATGTTCTTTGTTAGCCATTAGATAATGCGTCACGGGCCGTACAGCATTCTGCACGTTTGGATCCCGACAATGCAGAAGCAGCAGTCAGTATCGCCGAGGGAATTTTGTGCATAAAGCGAACCAATTCGCACTCGTTCCCTGTCTGGCGAATATCTGCTCAGCCAGCCTGACTAACGAGCACGGCAAGATCGTTCGGACAGCCTGGGACATGTAACGTCTGTAAGTGATCCCGGCGAGTTAACACCAGTCCCATTAGCCAAGAATGTCAGATGGGATTGCAGGTACAGAAAAGGAGGATGTGACACGGTTTGCTAAGTGAATTCGCGAGTACTACCAACGCTACGAGACAACGACTCAATTGAAGCGCAACGACGTGAGTAATTAGCGAGTCCCTTAATTGAGTAATCGGGTAAAATTCTTATCCCCGTATAAATATACATACGTGCATATCAGTATATACCAACCGAGGACATAATGAATGACGACTAATCTAAAGTCTAATTAAAGGACCACATATGCCAATTAAACAATTTTCTATGGCACTTTTTAATAGGATTGATGTCACGCGTTGATCCAGTTCATTGTCACAGTTCAAGGTGTTGACCATGCAATACCGGTTAAGTATAGACTGTACTGTTTACCGTACCTAGTTGCTATACCGTACCGTGTTATGCCTATATACAGGGTGTAATATATATTTAGAGAGCGCACGGTCGTATAACGTTGTTTATACATGGTCACCAATTTTTTTCTTATTTAATTTACATACAATTTTATGAGCTTTTTCCATTCACATATGTGGCATCGGGAATGGGGAGTTGGAAGGAGCCAACTTCCTGAGTCAAAGGAAGTCATAAGCTCTTTGAACTGTTCGACGGTACTTTTATAGGGATCAATTGACAAGCTACTCAGTCGGTATAGGCTCGTTAGGCGATGCCAGACTCTAAATAGAACTTCTTCAAAGGCCGCACCGATTCGCAAGGTTCGTCGCGGTCGGGACTTTACGAGGGACAATTATTCGGTATGCGCTCGTACGCTTGAAATAACGCGACTGCTGCGTCCGGTTCAGGGTTACCTTTTACGCGATACGGGAAACTTCACGAAGGTCATCGCCGCCTTGGGACTTACGTAATGGTAAAAAAGAAAGAGCAGTACAGCGAATGAAAAACGGTCATTTTAGATTTTCACATCATTTTTCCGATTTTCAATATTTTTCGCGATACTCTTATGGGAATTTCCAAATGCACCGAAAACGAGGGATTTCACGAGATGACTTATCGTTTGCTATAAAGATCCACTCTGATCAAAAGAGAGTACAGCTATGAGATTTTGAAAACTTTTTCAAAATCCCTCTCAATGCCCTTTTTCGTATGCCAGTATTCGGTGCGAGTGAATTCTCGTGAGATTCGTGAAAAACGTGAAACTTGATATTTTTTTTCTAAGCGCGCCCTTTTTTATCTAAATTTACGACCGTAGACGAATGGAGATTTATATTAGCCAGCCAGACGCGATGGTCGCGTGCTTGAAACCAGGTTGGTGCTGGTAGGCAAGGTGGGCAGGTGACGTATAACAAATAATATCACGATTGCCTTTGCCAGTCGTCAATAATCCGAGGGATGGCGGACAAATGAGGAAAGCAAAGGGGTTGTTTCAGTGGGTTTGGGAAAAAAGAAATTATTAAACCTGGAAGAGAGGGACGCTGTGACCTCATTCTGTCGAGTAATACCATGTAGGTATATTACAGTATATCTACTCATATGTATATCCTATATCCACGTATACACCCCCTACGTACACATATACACGTGTATTATACACGTAGTCAAAGGACAAATTGCAGAGCATCGATTTTCAAATTGGCTCATAATACTGTCGCACCAATAATTTAGGTTATTCTGAAAATTAATGGCGGACAATTTGAAGGATATACAGGTAGAACGGATCTATGAACTTTATAAAATATTTATACATGGACAAACATTCATTCTATCGAAATGGAGCAATGCCCGTTTGTTTTATTTTTTATTCTCGTATATCGATGCTAGTGGAAGATACGGTCGTTTTATATTTTTAATACTAAAACCCACAGTTCGCATGGACTCTGCGTCTCTTTCGGTAGAAATGCAATAACGTGAAAAAATAAACGTTAAAAAATATATCCGTCGAGCGAGTGCTCGTCACGGGGCTTTTTGGAGATGTTACTTCATAATGGAATTTTGCCACGGGAAGTTCCAACGTCACGCGAAGATAACAAATTGACAAAGTTCGTTGGATTACGAAAAGTCGTGTCGTTCGATTTGTCCCTCGCCAGACGCTGTTGCTCCTCTGCGGAAGCAGTCACACGGTTCTCGGGATCGGTAAAATTTCGAAAAGAAAAGAAAAGAAAAGAAAGTGCCTTTTCCCAAGAGTTTTCCAAATTTCAGGATACCCGAAATAATATTCCTGACTTCGTGACGTTATTGAAACGGATCGTCCGACGGGATTGGAGAGATACCCAAAACTTGCTAATTTTCCGACAAAAGGTATCCATTCGATTCACTAGGTAAACAATGAAAAAAAAAAAAAAAAAAAAAAAAAAAT